AATCTCTCTAATTATTATACGATTTTATTCCAAATAAATCCAACTTCATTTATAAGGTTTTTCCCTTTTTTTTAAAGTAGAGAGAACTTTTCAAAATAATCAAGCAAAGTCTGTTTTGTTTAAATATAAGAAAATTATTTTAAGTAATCTTACTTCTGCTTATCATCAAAACTTAAAATTCTTAATTCTTTATATTTTGTGAAATCTAATAGTGCTTCACTGCAAAACCATTGTCTATAATTTGTGCTATTTAATTCAAACACTTCAGATCTTGTTGTAGTAATTATTTTTGGATATTTTAAATTATAGATTCTCTATTAACCCTGAGTTAATTCGCTTAAGTTTTATAATTACTGTTTCCAATTCTTTAATTTATTATTTTAGATTAAATTAATTTAATTATTACTTAATTCATCAAAGCTATCAAGAATGAAAACAACTGCTACTTTACCTTCTTCAACAAGTGTTTAGAAAGCTTGAATTTATCTCCAATCAAAATTATAATTACTTGTAGCTAAGGTTTCTTCGACAGCTCTTAAATATGGATCTTTTAAGCTAGCTAATTAAATAAAAATTGGAACAATAGGTATTTATTCTAAATCTCTCGACCATTCATCTAAATTTAATTATTAATATTAAAGCCATATATATTCTTCTATTTTTTTAGCAGCTACACTTTTGCCTGATCCTGCAGGACCATGAATCAATAAAGAATCTTTGGGTTATTATAAAAACTCGTCAATTTCACCTTTATTTTAAAATACATCATTAAAAAGAGTAGTTTCATCATCTTCATCTTTAAAATTTTCCTTCAACTCTTTTGTTCTTAAATTAACATAAACATTATTAAAATCATTCATAATCTTTTATTATAAAATAGATTACATCCTAATTTCTAATAATTGTTTTGGGGTCTTACCAATTAATTGTTTAATATCTTAAACCATCTCATCTATTTTATTTAGCATTTAATCTAATTTATTTTGGATTTTATTTAAATCTTATCTAATTTCTCTTAAAAAATTGATTGTTATACCTAAAGCATCACCTATTTGATTTACATTCATTATTTATTATTCAACTTGTTCCTCTAATTATTTGTGTTCTTTTAATAATTATTCTCTCTTTCTGTCTGTCTCAGCATTTTAAATATTAAATTGTAGTTATTCTAATTTATTTATTTAACTAGCTAAATCTTATTAAATCTAACTTTGTATATCTGGCCAATTTTTAGAAAATCCTTAATACATTTGTTATATTATTTATTTATTTTTAAGTGTCACTAATATTTTTAAATCCGTCTCTTTTGCAGCTATTAAGATTAGCAACTTTTATATCGCTTATTTATTCTAATCTTGTAATTGATTTTCTAATTAAATGCATTAAAATAAAAATCCTTCCTTTACTCTCCAAGAGTTACCTTTAATGTAGTTAAGAATTGAAGAAGTTATACTTTACTTACATAATCTTAAATTAGTTTAGGATTAATTTTGAGCTTATTAAAATATAAAATTCATTTCGTCTTTTAGAAATTTCTCTAGCTCAATAGGATTTTGATTAATAACGTATAATTAATTGGAAAAATCTCTGCAAAAAGCATCATTTTAGAGATTTTTTAAATTCTGGATTATTAATTAAAACTTGATTTATAGTTTTATAATCCAATCTTCACATTAAGTATTTAGGGTTTCATTTTATTCGGTAAACTTCATTAAATCTACCAAATTTTACAATGTATCAAGGTCAGAAAAGTCAATCGATTATTACACCTAAACTATTGACTTTTTAAAATTATGAGTCAAATCTGAAAGTTTAGATTGATTTGGCTTTCTTTCATCGATACTTTCGCTCATTTCAGTGATCAATTCTTGTTTCCATGATTGTTTTAAATTCTTAAATAACTTTGCAATTTTATCAATAAAATCATATGTACATTTTTTTAGAGCTTAGATCGTTGAATCTAATTAAATTTTTTATCGAGTTCGAGCATGCACTAAAAATTCATTAAATTTATTCAATTCATTAATTAATTAAGTTTTAATCTCATTATTGAATAAGATTAGTAATTCTTATTAAATATGGTATACATAAATTTCTAATTCCTTTACTTTTTCTACATATTCAGCATTAGTTAATAAATCTATTTTATCTTTGGCTATTAATAATAAATCAATTTGAGATTTAAGTTTATTATAATTTGATTTAAAATTTTATGCTATCTTAGAGTCTTTTTTGCTTACTAATTCTAATAGTAATTCCATTTTTTTAAGGAAATCAAAATTAAAATTAAGAGTTGAGTTTATTGATAGGATTGAATAATTAAAGATAGAGCAAATAATATTAAAAATTCTACCTGATTTTGTATTTTGATAATCTTTTATTTAATTTAATAAGATCTAGTTTTCAGTTTCAAGCAATTGAATATATTAATTATATTGATGAATCTAATATTAGAAATACTCATCAAAATCAAATCTTTAATTTAATTTGAACTCTATTTTTTATTTTTTTTCAATTTTTTCAAATTCTTCTAAAGATAACTTTTCATACAGTAAAATGTTAAGGTCATAGAGTTAATCACATTAAAATCTAAGAATTGAATAAATTGAATGAAGATATTCAAAATTATTGTTCTAGCTCTAGTTAAACTCTTCAATTAATTTGTCAAATACTTATTTTATATCTATTTCTGTAGTTTTCTTTGTGATAATAATTTGCTGGCTTATAATAGCATGTTCAGCTGTAATCAAAGGTGTGAGTAACTTTACCTACTAATTCCAAAATTAACAAAATTGAATAGATGTGATAAAAAAATTCAACTATTCTTAAAAGGATTTTTCTTATATTTTTGATAAATTGATATTATTTTCTGGCATTTTTTATCCGAATTGCTTTTAGTAATTAATTTATTATTCTTTAGTTAAATTTTTTTATTAAAGCCAATTCAAAAGATTATCAAAAATATTTCTTTTTTTATCAAATAGCTTTTTGTATTATATTTTTGAGTAATTGTATAAAAATGCATGAAAACAATTATCATATATTGATAATTATTATTTATTGAATTCATTAGATTTTAACAATAGGGGAGCTATTGTTTCAATAATATTATTAATATAGTCAAGTGAAATTTGAAATTTGTTAATATCATTTAGTAATGATTAATATTATTCTTATGTTAATATTAAGTGATATTAGAAGTCCACAAAGCTCATAGTCTTAGGATCTATTTGATAATAAGCAATTAAGAATGTTGAAAATTTAGTAACGAATTCATTAAAATTAAACACAATTTTTTCAAAAGGAATTTATCTTAAAGCCTAAATAATCTTAAAATAATCTTGATTTGCTTCATTATCTAGGTTTATAGTATCTTTTGTTGAATCTAATGAATAATAGCCAAAGAATTAAGGAATTACATCGTTTCCATTCATAAAGAAGTTTTGAAGATTTTGATATTATCTTAATATGTTTTACAATTTAATCCCAAAATTGGATGAAGATTCTTTGGCAATAATTTCAGCAATTTCAAAATCTTTATGAATAACATTTATCAAATTTTCAGATTAAGCTTGTTCCCATGTTATTACTTAATTTGATTCTGATTACAAACTTAAAAATTTGATTTTTGTTATTAATGGTTTAGATGACATTAATTCGCTTGCCATCTTTATCCACGAATATTAAACTGCCCAATCACTTCCTTTTTTAATAATAATATTAAAATTATCATTAATTTTGTCCTCAATTTCGTTAAAAATAACTCCTGCTTTAATACACATCAAGATATTCCATTTTAATTGTTCTAAATATAGGCAATTTTAAAATTGCTCCATTGACTATTTCTTTTAGAATTATTGATATAAAAAAAGAGCTCCTTTAGAAATTGAACTCAATAAATCAGGTGAAGGTTTTAAACTAACAGCCGAGTTGAAAATTTCTTTAAGAATACCTAAGGCACAATCATCACGTTTTTAAGCCTCCTCTTAAGTTGGAATATATTCTATACATGCTTTAATCAGGCTTAATTCATAATTTAATGCATTATAAAATAACTATGTTTCCCCATCTAAGCTAATTTAATTAATTATAACATTCAATAATTATATCCATTTATCTATTTACTATTGATTACTTCTTTCATTTGAATTAGTATAATAGATGAATACCAATCTGGCAAATGAATTACAAATTTTTAATATTTAAAGAGCAATCAATCTATCCCATTAGATTATCATTGATGCTAATTCTAAAAAATACTAGAGTGTTCTTTCTATAATTTATTTGTGTTTTTTTACTAACTCAATTTGAAATTAGAAATAACAAAATAAGGATTCTAGCTCCTAAAACCAAGTTATGTTTCTGTAAAGAACACTTTTTCCTTCTTCAGTGCTCATTATCTCTTTTATATGTTCTACCTGCTCTAACTTTTTATTTAAGTTAATGAGACATCCATTTAGAAGTGTTGTATGCAATTATGCTTCAATCTAAATATTTTGAGGTATTCCTTAAGAATTTTTCGATGAAGAAAAGGCAGATCCACCTCCTCTTAAAGATTAAGCATGTTAAAGATGCAATTTTAAAAAATTTTGTTGCATATTTTAATTAGCCATTTAAAATATTTGTTTGTTGAGATTTATCACAATTTTTTGTAAATTGAATTTTACTTGATTAATATTTATGAATGAATATGATTAATTCCCTCAAATAAAAAATTAATTATATATAAATTAAACAATAAAACCAAGAAATATAATATCGTACTCTTATGATAAAAATGAAGTTTTTGGTTATTTAAATTTATTACTTTTGTAATTATCTTATAGATTATATTTAGATATTAATGTCATAAATATTTTAAAATTATATAATGATAATTAAAAAAATTTAATAATATTCATAAAAAGTCTAAAATTATAATCATTATTATACAATCATACTATTTTTGGGTTTTTAATGATATTCAGATGGATTCTATATAATAATTTTTTATTAGAAATGAATTAAAATTAAGTTCTAAGTCTGCTTTCTAGCAAGGATATTAATAATTATAGTTTTATTAAGATGCTAGGAACAGAATCTTATAGTGAAGTGTTTTAGGGAAAGAACAAAAGAAATGGAGAAGAAACTGCAATCAAAGTAATTGATAAGGTTTTTTTAGCAAAAGTAATAATAAATGTAAATCTATAGTAAAATAAAAGTCACTTGATCTATTTAGAATCTAATGCTTTAATGTCTATAAATCACCCTGAGGTTATAAAATGTTATGCTACATATGAGTCTAATACAAAGTTATATCTCTCTTTAGAATTGATGAATTGTGGCACATTCAGAGATTACATCAAAGGTAGTAAATAAGTTATTCATATTAGGGAAGTATTATTAACTAGAGAGATATAATTTATCCTGCCAAAATGATTGTCATTTTAAGTACATATAAACTCTGGCTGAAGATAATACAGGAAAGTTAATCTATACAATTACCGTTGTTTTAGGCTAAGAATAAATAACTAATTTAAAAGAAGTTAAAAATCTAATTTTACAAGATATTTTATTTTATTCTAACTTAGGTTAAAAATTACCTTATCCTTTAATATATGTTGGAGTTGGATAAGAATAATTTAAAGATATTAGATTGATCAATGATTTAATTAATTCATAAAAGACACCAATTAGAAATAATTTTAGTTTTCATTAATATCAAGAGGATTTAGATTTAATTTTACTTAATTTAATGAAAAATTTACCTAATTAAGTTGTTACATACCATTAATAATTAAATTTGTAAGTAAGAAATACATTTTATAATATATTAAATAACAATATCATTCTTTTAGACCAGCTCTTTTTTCTTTTTTTGCTTTTAATCTGGCTATCTTTTCATCCATAAAAAATAAATAAGGTAAATAACAGATACAACATATTAGAACTGTAAATCCTAATAGAGATGATGACCTTTAAAATCCATACCATTTTGTAAGATAACCTCCCATAATTGGTCCAAACAATTCACCTCCTGCTAAACTTGCATTAAATCTATAAAAAAAATGAATTTATATCAAATACATGGCTGATGCTATGTTTGCACATTATGTGGGATATTTATAATAATCTTTTGTAAGAATTTAATTGACTTAAGGCAATGTTAGAACATATGGAAATCCTCCAGTAAAACCTACAATTGACCATGCTAATATTGTATATAATAGTTTTGGATTTAAATTAGTGAATGTATAATCAGGACCCATATAAAATTATAATAATCCGCTGATCACTAAGCCATAATACATGAAAAATTTTTTATGGGATTTTATTCTAGATATGAAAAGAGTAGATAATCCAAAAGATGCTGCGTTTATGGATATCCAGTATCCAGAGTACTCTTCTTCAATATCATACTATTCCAATAAATAAATAGCTATTGTTGGGTTATAAAATGTCCATAAAGATAGAGTTAACGTATTTGTTATAAATGAAATTACAACTGGATAATTACAAAGAAGTGATAAATAAGATATCTAAAAATCACTATCAATAATTGATTCTTAATTTTATATTGATTAATGCAATATTATTGATTAACTAAGATCTACTTCAGGGACATCTAAACTTTTTGAAAAAAAAATCAAAATTCCAGCTAATCCATATGAACATCCTGCAAAGAAAAAAAATGGTAAAACAAATCCACCTAATTAATATAATGCTGATCCTAATATAGGACCTCCTAAAAATCCAAGAGATGTTGATACTTCAGCTATTGCTATTTTCTCTTCAATTGATTTTGGAAATAATTAAGGAATAAATGCATAAAACGGTGTCATAAACATAGAGGCACCCTATTTGTATTTTCATTTATAAATACTATTCCACCAATCAATCTAGCCAGAAAACTTCCTAACAGAATTACCCAATAATCATCAAAATAGTATAAGAAACCAAAAAGCATCAAACCTAATCCTTATAAAAAAATTCCAATAATCATTATTTTCTGTCTATTATCCTATAATTAGTATATTTCATACATGGGTTATTAATTTCCCTAGAATTAAAGAAGAAATGAATTGTCCTAAAGGATGAGCAGCAAATACAATTCCTATGATATCTTCAGAGAGCTCTTTAGATTTAGCAAATTATGGGTAAAATGGTGCAATAATTGACATTGCAAGATTACAAACTACATTGCATGATATCAATATAAAGAATATATGTGTTTATTTCATTCAATTAATTTTAAATAATATAATTTTAATCAAATATAAATCAAATTATGCTTATCTATATATATTCTGGATCTATATTCAACTAAGAATTTTTTTATAATTTATTCAGATTTTCAGTTTTATGATTTCTTCAAAAAACTAGAAATGTATTCTTTTATTTTTAAACTTACTTTTAAACTTGACTCAGAAATTGTTATACCTATTTAAACATCGAAATAAATTTTTGGTTTCAAATAAAATTGATATTATAATATATTTATATATAATTTCTTTTATGATATTCAATGACTAATATCTTTATCTTGTGTCTATTTCCATAATTTAAATAAATCATGTTTTGTCTTATTTTTAATGTATGATTATTCAAAAGCTGTTCCAATAAATTTAGAATTCTAAGTGGACTTACTAATACACAATAATTCCGTGAAAGTTATTGAATTTTATTAATTAATTTTACTTTCTGAAACTTCTTAATTTTCTTAATTATTCATTTCAATTTAAGATAGATTGTCCCGGTAAATTTAGTCAGTGTTTTTTAAATGTTTTACAAAGCTATCTTACAGGAGTCTTGTTTAATCGATACATTTCATAAGTAAAATCATTTTATCTTTATGGATAGACAGTGCGACCTCTTCAATCTTTTTTAATTTAACTTCTATATTTTATCTCACTTTTTTTATTTCATCTTTTTAAGTTCTCTAATATCCTAATGTTGCGCTCATATCAACTCTGTTTAATTCTTATAAATGATGATAATTCGCTTCTATCTCACGTAATAATTAATCGTTTTAATTTAATTATCCTTTAATTTTTGAGCTAGAATCCAAAAGGTCATTAAGTTTTTCGCAGTCTTCTTAAAGTTTATCAAAATCCTCATTCTTTAAAGCCTCTTAACAATTTTTTTTTTGCAATTAGAATTTATTATTTAATTCATTAATATTTGAAGATACAATTTCATTTTCATCTAAATTCTACATTTGCCATATTTTCAGACATTTATCAGAAGAACTTGAAACTATAAATTTATTATCTTAAGATAAACAAATACAATTACGATTAATTTGAGTTTAATGGCAATTATATTTATTTCCTTATTTCTTTTTTAATAGATTCATAATTTTAATTGAATGATCTTCAAATGCCATTAATAAAATGCCATTGTTATCAAAATGCATAGAAGTAATTACTCCTTAATAAGAGGTGGTTTAATAAATCTATGATAAATCTTTAGTATTTAGAATATAAATATTAGAGTCTTTGCTTGCAATTGCTAATTATGAGTAATCAGATTTAATTGCAAAACATACTAAATCAGAATTGTCTTTTATAATTGATGAATTAATCTACTTGATTTCTTATTCTTCATCCTTTAATTCAAATTACATAGATGAAGAATTTGTTTAGCTTGAACCAATATTAACGTTTTTATAATTTCCAAATTTATCTAAAACTACAAGATTTTAATCTAGACTAAAGAAAACAGTTAAAATTTCAAAATCTAGTTTAATTTTTTTTCCACTTTATCTTCCATCAGGACAAGCCCAAATTTTAATTTCTCCTCTTTAAGTACTTGAACATATTAAATTATTTTTTTAAGAATAGGCTAAAAATGCTACCTCTCCTTTAGGTTTTAGAAATGAATTTGAATGATTTGTTGATTTGCCTGTAAAACAATCAAAAATTTAAATTTAATGTTCAAATCCACCTGTAATTATATATTGATCATCATCAACGATTAAGATTGGACTTTATGAACATGCAGAACATAATTTAGAAATAGAACATTCTTAACAAGACTGTAATTATATTTTTTCATTAACAACAGATCCTGTTTTAATATTCCATTAAATTATTTTTTTATCTTCGCCCTTTGTGATTACTCTTTCAGAATCTGAAGAGATTACTATAAATAAAATATTTCCTTCATGACCTGGCAGATACTCACTAATACGATAATTATCACTATGATGCCATTATTTTATTAATCCATCCTCTCCAGCAGATAATATAATCATTCCATCTGGTTTAGAAAACTCAACACTATTGATAACATCATTATGACCAAATAAACTCTCTCCAATTTAAACACCTTTCATAAAATCCCATACTCGAATACATTTGTCATCTCCTCCACTTATCAACACATTTCCATCATTAGAAAAACATAAACTTCTTACAGCTCCTTAGTGTCCAATTAATTTTATTTACTCTTTCTATTTTAGTAAACTATATATAATAATCCCTTCATTAATTGTTGCATATGCAAAATATTAACCATCTGAAGTAAAAACTATGCTTGTAACTTATTATTAACTTTGTAAATTTTTTATTTTTTTTTCTAAGCGATCTATAATTTTATATTAAAATATGGAATTTTAATCAGATACTATTAAATTGTCTTCTTCTGGTGAAAAATCAAATGCTGTTATTCTCGTTTTATCAATTATCTCTCTAAATTAAATAAATTAAGAATTTTCATATCTATAAATCACTACTTTTCCTTTTTAACATCCAATTGATAAATAATTATCTTGATTCGAAAAATTTATCAATTCAACAACATCTCCTATTTTTAATTTTTATTCAATCCGTTTAGTTTATTTTAAATCTTCAATTAAAAAATCCAAAATATTTATTGTTTCCTTATTGGTACAATAAGCAAGCATGGATTTACGGTTAGACCAACAAAAATCAAATATATTATTATCGCAATCAATCTCTTTTATTATTTCACCAGTTATTAATAAATAAATCACTAATTTTGTATGACTAAGGGATGCAATGAAACTACCATCAATAGAAAATGAAGCTTTCATAATAGGACCTATTTTAAAAGACAATGTTGGCAAATCTTATGATATTATGTTCTTCCACTCCACTTTTGCAATTTTACAATAATTTAAATTTGTCCCCATCAAAGTCACATTCTCAAATATTGAGCTAGTAAAATCGCAGCCATTACACTTTATTCCTAATAATTTAACATCCTTTATTTAAATTTTAGTGAAATCTTTTCGATAGAAAAACTCTTGCATGTAGGCTAGTAATTAGAATGAATTAGAACTTATATTTATAAATTATGGTGATTACGAAGATAGTAATACTAAAAAATGTAAGACAGATTTTAACTCCAAATCATTCTAGATATATTCAACTAAAAATCTAATAGCTCCCATATAAAATTGATTTCCCATAATTATGTAACTTAATGGTGAAGATTGAATATTTTATAGCAAATCATTTACAAATGAAAAATAATCCTAACAGCTATTATATTGATAAATTTCATTTAAATCCGAATGAAAGTCATTAGGTTATTCGATATTATTCTAAAATGTTTTTATGCAATCGAAAATGAATTTCTTTATTTTTATTTGACTACCTTGTGAATCTGTAATATCTAATTTACTTTCTTTAAATTTATTTAGGAAAAATCTTATTATCATGAGATTTTCAATAATGGATTTGGCATAAATGAATTCTTAAATAGATTTATGCTCAAAACTCAAAATAGTTCCAGTTTATTTAAGAGGAAGACATTTTTTTGCCAAATTTATATCTTCAGAACTGTCATTAAACAATTCTGCAAATCTTGGGTCTATAATGTTTTATTTTATTTTTTATTCACCAAACTTGAATAATTTCTAACTGTCAAAAGCAGTTAATTATTTTTCCATCATATATGTAGATAATAATGTTGCATAATAATTAATGTAATTTATGAAATTAGGATGGAACTTTTGTTGTTAAAATGTTGACAATTTTTACATTTAGTTTTAGATGTAATTTTACAAAAATTAAAAATAGAAGTCATACTAGGTAAATTTAAAAGATTTAAAACATTTTAAAATTATCTATTTGTCATCTTCAAATTAATCATACCTTAATTAAGAAGATTAAAGATTTTTCCAAATTGATTTTGCATTATCTTCTAATTTAACTTATATTTTGATTTATAAATTCTACTTTTATTTAAGGTCTCTTAAAGCTTTCGAGTTTGTTTAGCTCGAATTTCTACTTTTTTAAGAAATACTATTCATTTATGGGTGATACACTCCAGGAGTAGGTGACCTAACAGTTGTAATATTTCGAGCTATTGATTATGGCTATTAAATAGAATTATATGAACTGCCAATATTTGAATTTTTCGATAAATTAGGTTCTACATAGTTTCTTGAATATTTTATATCAGGAGTATTTCTAGAGGAGGATATATCTTATCTAATTTAATAATTTTGTGAAATTTATGTTGTAGCAATTATCTATGCATTTTGAAAAGAGGGTTTTGATTATGAGACCTTTTATTGTTACTAATTTTAAGAGTGCTTTCTTACTTCTTCATCACCCTATTATACTTCTTATTCATTTCTATGTTATTCTTATGATTATTCAGAAATTCTATCTTATTCCTCATCCGACTAATCCTACTCTTAATCTTCAGGTTATTCAGAAATTTTAGATTAATCATTATCATTTTATTCTTTTGCTTAAACTTCTTTATATTATTCAAGCGAAATCCTGTCTAAAAACTTTCGAAGCTCTTTTATATCTTTTTATTTAACATATTTTATGCGCATTTGAAGAGTGTAATTAGAGATAAAATAGTTCTTCTAAATCTCTTATTTCTGAGAATTTATTTAAGGAAGTACATCAATTACAATTTTCATCATAAATGGTGTTTTGAGAATTTATTCCAAATTGAAATCAATTATATTATTATTGTAAAATATTGGAGTTTAGATATGTTTAAGTTATCTCTCTAAAATCTCAAATTATTCTTATTTACTTTACAATTTTAATTCGCTTTTTAGAGTTTAAGTTATCATATTAATTTCCTTATCACTTAAATATTAATCATTTGATAATTGATAGTTATTAAATCTCTCTAATTATTATACGATTTTATTCCAAATAAATCCAACTTCATTTATAAGGTTTTTCCCTTTTTTTTAAAGTAGAGAGAACTTTTCAAAATAATCAAGCAAAGTCTGTTTTG